AAATTGTTTATGACCTCATAAAAGTAAGAAATACCAAAAGAGCATATGAAATGTTTATAACAAAAAATATTTGAATGAATAAACATAAAAGCAGAATTACCTAAATGAAAGGGAAGATAAGACTGACTACCTAAATGGATTTATTGCAAAATAAAATATTGTGTAATACCTCAATCAATTCTGTGCCTCCCCACGGGAGACAGGACAAAATGCAGGTTATATAGAAGTCAGCACATGGTTGCCAAGAAGGATTACCAGCATCCTCATCGATAATTGTGGCAGCAGATGATAAAAGTGTCTCAAAGACTTCAATAACTGAACTAGGCAAGATAACTTTGCTGCACATCTACACCAAAAACCAAAGAAATATATCACCCACACAAGTATAACTCTAAAAATGCTAAGATACTGTGGCATCTAAGAGAACCAAATAGAGCCTCAAATGAACTTGAGAAAAGTTCAGCACTTAAGCATATACAAAAGCAGGTGTTTGGAAACAGGAGATAAGAATCTTACTCTCAATAAAAAAATTGTTCAAAAGCTCTACAGAAGAAGCTTATCTGCACCTTCTTTCTATATACCATATTACAGGGGGAAAAAAAAAACTTAAGGTATACCTCTTAAAAAATATGTTTAGTTTATTCATATAAAATGATAGAACTACATAAATAACCATGCTTTTGTATTATCACATCTTTAACTTTAATTATGTTGTGATAATTTACTGTTCTTTTCCTCAAGGTTCCAAATATCAGTTACTGACGTCGGTTGGACCATAAGGTATATGAAACCATGCTTTTTCTACCCATTATTCTTTCCAGGTTGGGATTCATTGGTTCATTAATGTTATTTGCAACTTCAAAATGGTTTTAAATCATTTAATCCATGAAAGCACAGCACCTTAAAAATACTTACAGGAGTCCGGTCCAATTACAATTATTTGTATTAGTGTATACTAGATATATTGGACCTGAATGACCTAGGCGACTGTTGGCATCACAGTAAGTCCACTTCTTAGTGCCTTAATTTGCTCCTCACAAATTATTTGATCAATTTTCTTTGGCTAATTTCTGATATATATCCGAATTCTTGGAAAAATTAAGTTGACATCAGCCGATCTCAAAGCCGGCTGATCTCTCTCCCTACTTCCAGCTGATTCCTGAAATTATACCCGATTTCTCAGAAAGAATGGATTACTCTCTGACACAGATAAGGATTGCCGTGTTAACTAGCAAAACATACATGGAGCATAATGTAGCAAGATGAAAATTCAAACGAGACTAAAAAGCCAATTTCGAGTTTGACAGCATCAGTAAAATTGGAGTCACAAACATCAAGATTCAGTGCATGTTTCTCCACAAGATGCATTTAAAAATTAAAACCTCATATAAAAAACCTAACAAAAACAGATGCAAATAACTGAAGAATTATCTACAACCAAGCAGAAAAAGGAAAATGGCAGGGCTTGATAACTGGTAATGTCTCTAAAAAACAGATCTATAGCATACCAGAACTGTCAGAAACCTCATCAATGTACGAATCTTGTCACAATTTTCTGAAGACAATGCCTCCTGAAAATTTTAGTAAACAGAAGTGAGCTATATAGATGATTAATAAGAAACAATTTTTTAACAGTACAAATACAATATGACAGCTACAATACTTGAAAGCAGTGATTTAAAAAACGCTAGAAGCCAAAAAGCGTCAAGGTCCAAAAACGCCCGAGGCGTTAGACGCTCGCCCGAGCGAAACGAGGCGCTAAAATATAAAAATATATAATATAATTAATAAATATAATTATTTTAAAAAAATGATATTAAATTTAAAAAATCTTACAAAATCACAATATCACATTAACAAAAAATCTCAAAATTCAAAACAATAACAATAATTTCAAATAAATAAAAATTAGCAGTATTAAAATCAAAATAATATATTATTAATCTGATAAATAAAAAAATATTGTTACTAGTATACAGTTAATATACTGTTAACAGTATACTATCGAGTCGATGTGAGAAGAGGAAGCAGCGAGCAACGGTAGAGGGAGCGGGAGAGGTGAGCGACGACAGTGGCAATGGCAGCGGTAGCAGCGAGAAGCGATAGTGGGAGCAGGAGCACGAGCAGCGAGCGACGACAGTGGCAGCGAGAGTGGTAGCAGTGAGCAGCGGGAGCGAGAGTGACGACAGTTGCAACGGTAGCAGCGAGCAGCGACAGCGGTAGCGGGAGAGGCGACAGTGGCAGCGATAGCAGCGAGCGGCAACAACGACAGCAAGAGCGGCGACAGTGGCAGCGGCAGTAGTGAGCAGCGAGAGCGAGAGAGACGAGCGGAGACAGTGGCAACGGTAGCAGCGAGCAACGACAGCGGCAACGGGAGCGGAAGCGGCGAGCGACGATAGTGGCAGCGGGAGTGGCAACAGTGGCAACGACAGCAACGAGGAGCGGGAGCGACGAGCAGCGATAGCGGTAGTGGCAATGAGCAGCGTGAACGACAAGCAAGGTTAGGGTTAGGGAAGTCGCGTTGATATCGGTGCTTTAGTTGGTTCAAATTGAACCAACTAAAGCACCGGAGACCGAACCAAACCTAAAACGCTGGTTCGGTCGCCTGGTTTAACCTAGGCGCTCGCTCGAAGCGCTTGGCGCCTGGGCTCGGGCGAGCGCCCAAGCGGCGCCTCTTTGAAGCGCGCCACCTAGAAATGAAGCGAGGCATTGAAATCACTCCTTGAAAGAAGTATCACAGATCATTTATCAACCAAAGACTTAGAACAGTAGAGTCATAAAGATGAGACCTTGTTCATACTGCTAGTTGCAAAGGGATGTAAAAGCATATATGAGCCAAAACGTACAGTATCAAGAAATCACCAACACTTCACCAATGCGAAACTAAATAAGTAGGAAACTCCTCTGTGTGTATGTGTGTATAGCGAACAAGATGTCAGAGATTAGCAAAGGTCTCACCTGTAGCTTGCAGTGTAGATCATCCACAATGTTTTTTCCAAAGTCCTCATCCTCTAAATTTATCATACCAACCTGAAGATGAGAAAGTGAACATACAAATTAAAAATGAAGCAAGTCTAACAACATTGTCAATGATCTGCACAAATCTTGACTCAGAAATTACGCACATTGCTCTTCTGTGTACTTGCACTCTCCTATAATAAAGCGATAAATGAACAGATGAAATGCTTCTAGATGGATGTAATGATGTTGCAAAATGCAAATTATATAGCTAGGAGAATGCAAAGTTTCAACGTTAGTCTATCATATATATCCAACAAATTTATGAAAATAGTAACAGTCTTTTATTACAATCTGTTTGGATTTTTCCACCATTTATTCCAATGTGGGGTTCATTTGTTCTCAGTTAAAACCAAAATCAAGAAAGAAATAAAGAATCATCATGACATTTTAGTTTAGTGTGCAGGTTTTTTTTTGGGGGGGGGTTGGGACAGGGGTAGGCAAGTACAGTTGCTATGCCAAGTCCTGAAAAACCTAAAAATGATATATATACATATATACATACATATACATATATATACATACACATATTTATATTTATATATATGCATGTGTATATATATGTACACATATATAACCAACCAGGGAATTAAAAAGAAATCCTTGAAAGTTATGTACTATAAGAAGGCTGATCCCAGAAAGTACCCAAATAAATGAAAAGAAATTTGAACGAAAAATTTAATATGACAGTTAAAGAACCATAAAAGTTACTCTCCTTGGCAGAAATATTTGAAATTTTTTCTTTGACTATTCTGGGAATGGGTTGTATGAAAAAAAAGAAAAGAAAAGAAAAGAGAGACCAATGCATGAAGCCCACACCACTACAGCATCTTTAGGTGGCTACAAGCTATTGGCATAAAAAAATGAAGAAAATAAAGATAAAATCATGATAGAGCAAGCAGAGGTATGCATTGATCCATAACAACTATAAAGTGAAACAAATGTATAAAGAATCTTAAAAAAGAATATTACTAAAGGTAAAGAAATTATTTAAGCGTACCAACACTCCATAAAATGGAATTTTATGCGGCAACTGTTCGGCACACTGAAGAAGAAGCTGATTAAATCCACAAAGTCCATGTTAGCACAAAATAATCCATCAAGGCAACAGCAACACATGCTTTTAGGTACAATAACATCAATAGAAACATTAGTTTCTAAATAATGCACAGCAAAGAAAACATGCAGAATATACTTCTTATAATTCTCAACATTAAAATGAAAATTATCAGGATCAGAACCTTGTGTATACTATATGAAGTCCATGTCAAAAACAGTAAATTCTTCAACCAGGACAATTTAAAGCATCAAGCTGATAAAACACTACATTAATATCTTTGATGGCAGACAAAAATTACAGTGCATCTGTTTATTAGTTATGTGTCCGGTGGTCATATTTTAAAAAAATACTCACATGATGCACTTCTCCCACATCTTCCTAAAATTAGCTTGCACTTAGAAACATATGCATTTGCACACATATATCCAGCAGTGATTTAAAAAGCACTAGACATCAAAAGGAGCCAAGGTCCAAAAACGCCCGAGCGAAGCGAGGTGCTAAAATATAAAAATATATAATATAATTAATAAATATAATTATTTAAATAAAAAATATGATATTAAATTAAGAAAATCTTGTAAAATTACAATATCACATTAAAAAAAGTCTCAAAATTCAAAACAATAACAATAATTTCAAATAAATAAAAATTAATAGCATTAAAATCAAAATAATATATTATTAATCTAATAAATAAAAATATTGTTACTTGTATATAGTTAGTAGTATATTGTTAATATACTATTAACAGTATACTATCGAAGTGAGAAGAGTGTGAGTAGGAGGAAGATTGAGGTTACTGACTAAGAGTAGCGACAGCGGTAGCAGCGACAGCGAGAGGGGGAGAGGCGAGCGACGACAGTGGCAGCGACAGCGAGAGCGAAAGCGACAAGCGACAATAGTGGCAGTAGCAGCGGGAGCGGCGAGCGACGACAATGGCAGCAACAGCGGTAGCAGTGAGCAGCAGCAGTGGGAGCGACGAGCGACGACAGTGACAGCGGCAGCGATAACAGCGAGCAACGACAGCAGGAGCAGGAGCGGCGAGCAACTACAGTGGCAGCAACGAGCAGTGACAGCGAGAGCGGCGAGCGACGACAATGGCAACGGTAGAAGCGAGTAGCAACAATGGCAGCAGGAGTGGCGAGCGACAACAATGGCAGCGAGAGCGAGAGCGACAAGCAACGATAGTGGTAGCGGTAGCAGCAAGCAGCGGCAGCGGGAGCGATGAGCAGCGTTAGGGTTGGGAAGTTACGAGAGGAAAGCTGATATCGGTGCTTTAGTTGGTTCGATTGAACCAACTAAAGCAACGGAGACCGAACCAGATGTAAAACGCTGGTTCGGTCGCCTAGTTTAACCCAGGCGCTCGCCCGAGCCCAGGCGCGCCGCATCTTTGAAGCGCGCTGCCTGGAAATGAAGCGAGGTGCTCGGGCCTCGCCTCACCTCGCCCGAGCGCCTAGGCAAGCGCCTATTGAAATCACTGATATCCAGAATAGAGAAAAGTAATAAGATAAATCTTGATAAGTACCTTTGTTGCATGCCCTATTTCGACACTCAATAGTATGAGAACAAACTTTACCTGATGACATTATAATTTTCCATAAAATTAGGCCAAATTGGTAAAGAAAAAGTTAGACAAACATTTTGCTAGAGTTCAATATATTGGATCCTTTCCTGACAGCTTGGTATTTGTTGTAACCCAATAAAAAAGTTTATCTTAATATCATGACAGGTTGCGAGTCCAAATCATGTATCTGCCCTTATTAATCTGTCAGTGCTTGATTAATATTTGTAAAATGTCCTCTCTGATAGGTTTGCACGATGTATTTTGGATCAGTTTTAAAAACCAAGCCTAATCTAACTTACATATGAGAGGGGATGTTTAATATACACTGGATTCTTTTGTAACAGCTTAACTTTTGAGACTTGTGGTAACCCAATCAAAACCTTGCTCTGATATCATCTTAAACTTTTCATCATTGCCATTACATCTAAAAGCTTATAGTAGTAAATAACACATGATTTTATTTATATTCTTAACACAACCCCTCACATGTGGAAAGATAGCTTAAACTCATCATATGAAACTTGAATTAATTCGGGATTATCCAAAGTTATAATTTGATCTAAACATCTAGTCTCATTTGAAAAGAAAAGTTCTCAGTATTGCGGTAGTTGCTTCTACTAATAACAAATTTCAATAGATAAATTCTACCACCAATTGACAATTACAACAATGTTTTATTTTTCCGATAAACCTAATTAAAATAATGCCAAGATGCCTATGCCATTTATATGATCATTTTTTCTGTATACCAAGTTTACATTTAAAAACAATCATTTTCCCTTGCTACTTCAGCTATTAGCTAAAATTCCTGTAAACAAATTTTGTTAATGCTTCTTTAAATTATTATAACAATTAGTTCTAACCTCCTTCCTGCCAGTGCTCATACCCTATGGTCTCAAACTAAGATCTCAGCCGACTCCAACAAAAAGCAAAGATAGAACCCTTGCTTAAGATTCAACGCAAATGAGAACCAACATAATGGGTCACTTTCAGTCTTTGTTTTTCGAGTCAACTAAGGAAGATGCATCGTGTCACTTCTAAGTGACGACCTAACAATGTAGTCAGAAATTGATTACACAAAGATCTATATTAGCTATTAGCTATCTACACAGCCGTTACCATGAAAAAATATTTGTGGAACAACACTTTTTAGTTTGTATAATGTCTAGCAATCGCCTATGTTTAAAAGATGATAGTCATCAGAATTAACTATGTTTTTCTGCATTTAGCTCTGAGTTATAATTATTTACTTTGAAACATCTCTGCATTTAAAAATTATTGCATGTTATTTTTCTTTTTAAAGCATAATTTTGCTGTAACAACCCCACTCTAGATCCCACGACACTGTCATACAGACAGAATTTTGGGTGACATTTTGGAAGCACGAATATCTTGCATCTAAAACGAATTCTAAAGCAGGAGGTAGTTTGTCAAGAAAGATAGTAAAAAAAAACCAAACAAGAAGGATTTTTAAAGGCATCATGTATCCAGTGATTTAAAAACTCACACAATTTCAAGTTCAATGCTCAGATTATCTATCTGTTCTAATATATATTTCCTAGAACTTACATAAAGCACATTCTTCCAGAGAAACTCCGATAGTTTTTTTTAGATACAACTATACCGTTTTCTAATCTAAAATGCAAGAAGAATAATTTATTAAAACTTCCAATAACCTTAGGTTAATTTCAAAGCTTTTTTTAAATGGGATTTTAAGATATTTACCGAAGCTGAAAATTCATCAGATTTGTCAAATTTGTTTGATGTATGCCTTAAAGTAACTTATGGATGTCTTGAAAATCATTTAACAAATTTGTCAAATCATTTGTTTGATGTATGGATCAAATTTGTCAAAGTTGTTTTTGGTCCAACTATCAAACTTTACAGACGTGTTAAGAATGTCTTCGCAGGGTGCTTCTTTGGATTCTCATATTGAAAGATAGACAAATAAAAATCTTCATCCATGTATTTGTGTTACATTTATGCCATGTGACGACAATCAACGAACGTCTAATAAAGATCATCAGCTGAACACGGCATTACCTCAGATATTTCATCTTTGGAATGTTCAAATTCTCGCCAGAGCACACCATAACATGTTTCCTGTGACAAAAAACATATGATCAAGACAACAAATGAATTATGCATCTGGAAATTATTATTATGAAGTTTGACCAGATATCTGGAAGAGAAGCCTACTTGATCCTTTGAATTGACAAACAAAATAATGCTTTAAACAAATATTAAATAACCACTGCCTGGGAGAATCCGATGTTTCTTGATTCGATGGAAAATTTGCTAAACTATCAACATTTTGCTAATATTGTTTTGCAATGACAATTATAAGAAACTACATCATTACTCCAGTATCAAGTGCACGAAATCAAGCTCTTGCAAGAAGAAGAGATCAAGAGGTAATTTTTAACTTTGACAAACATCTCCTAAGAAAAATTCCTAGAAAATCAGATAAATTATTCAGTTTGACAAGAATCACGCCTGCTGTTTCTACATTTTTACACTATAGCATTCCACAACGACACTGCTCAAAATTTTGCCTATCGTGGATTCAAGCTGAACCTGGACAAATTCTGTTCCACGTCACAAATTTCAACTTAACCCTACAACGGGATCGTAGAATACGTAAAATACCACCATAGACTAGGATTTTCTTCGAGAATCAGATGTCACCACAAACTAGGTTTATGAAGAATCAGAGGCCACCGCATACTAGGTTTTCCTTTTTATGAAGAATCAGAGGCCACCGCGTACTAGGGTTTTTTTTCGAAGAATCAGAGACCCATCACAAGCTAGGGTTTTGTCAAGAAACAGAGACTACCATAAACTAGGGTTTTTTTTCAAGAATCAGAGGCCACCACAAACTGGGGCTCTCTTCCCGAGAATCGGAGAAACGACACAACCAAAATAAACAACGGAAAGAGAGAGCGAGAGAGAGAGAGAGACAGAGAGAGAGAGAAGACGAGAAGGAGGAACTGACAATGTGTTCTTTGTAGTCGACGCCGCCGCCGTACTCGGGACATTTGTCGCCGACCCTCAGGAGAAGAGTCTGCCAGCTGCTCATAGATCCCAGCTACCGAAGCGGCGAGGACGGAGGCGAGGGGTTTGGAGCACAAAGAAGTGATCTGAGGGAGTGCAAGATGGAGAAGTGGGGAACGGACGACGACCGCTGTGCGCTTCTGCTTGGGGTTTCAAGGGCTAGCATAAGCTCTCCATTGAATTGGGCTCAAAACGGGCTTGTCGAATGGGCTTTTAAAACGTCGGAGATGACGATAAGAAGGGATATTAACCCTCCATTATGTGGTCAACATAAACGGCTGCAATGACCATTAAAAGGTAGAACCGCCCGTGCTTTCTTTGCACTGATAAGCTGTCCTCGCATACATACTTCAGTCAAACGCTAATTAGACATGTCACATCAATATTATTTGGACACTATATCTGGAGAATATTATCTCATCAAGGCATTTAATCTTTTTTAACCAAACGACGATCACAAGATGGATAATATAAAAAGCATTATTTTTGGATACAGATTCTCTAATTCCAAGTAATACTACAAAAATAATTATTTTTACATACGTAATATAGTACAAGTAATAGTCGATTCAAATATTAATTTGTCGTTTCTCAAAAAGAAATTAAGTATGTTTCAAATTTAAGTAATTTGTTATTGATTTGTGTGCAGGAAATGTGACCATCCGGATGACATCAGGTTTCCATTCCCCCTAACCAAATATCATGCTTGAGATTATATCACGTATGCTTTTTGGAAGCGTGACATGTTTAGACATTTTTAATAAATAAAAAATTATTAGTGAATTATCACTTAAGGGCTTTACAATAGTATATCTTCATCAAAATATTTAAATTAAAATTAATAATAATATAATCATTAAATCATTATAAATTTATCCTAATTTAGCACACTATCAACATGGGATTAATCGAAATGTTACATTCAGACTATCAAGTGAAATCAAATATCTAAACTATCTTATCTTTCGAGTGAAAAAGAAAAATTATAAAAAAATAAATATAAAAGTTAGGAGATTTGAGAATAGAGTATTATCAAACAGAAGTATCTTCATTCACTTACATTATACAGAATTATCTTCGATGCTTATGTTTCTTTTGACTGTCGTAGTAAAGTTGATTAAATGTTCTCAAGGTCAAACAATGAATTTTTCATTATTAGTTTCAGTGGCAATTTTAGGGAGCTTTTAGAATCTGCTTTTGTTTAGTCTTTGTGCTGTGAGTCAGATTCCATGATATTTCAGCCAAAAAACGAACTAGCAAAGGAAGTAAAATATATAACAGACCAATGCATGAAGCCCACACCACTGCAGCATCTTGATTTAAGTATAATGTGAAACAAGTATACAAGAAACTTAAACAAGTACAGTACTAACATGATTTAAGTATGAGTCCAACATCAGAGGTAAGTATACGAGACACTTGGAAGTAGATGCCAAGGCCTTCTGATACTTGTACTAGGAAACAGAGATGTAAAGGAGTCTTCACTAGGTTGGAAGCCATCACCTTCATGAGATGTTAAAAGAGTCGAGACAAGCAGACACATTTCAACAAAAAAGGATGATAAGAAGAGGTTTCCTGTGTTTCCGCAGGGAGAAATGCCTTTAACAAGCTCTTCTTTGATGCGACCAAACAAGTCGCTACTGCAGAACAGATGAAAATACCACACTGCATTTACATGAATTTCTACTTCAGAAATATTCCAAGGGTGCATGTCGATGATGTCGTATTTGCGAATGGAGAAAAGCAAGTTATTTACTAATTAGAGATTTCTGATCTGCCCCATAACAACAAATTTGAAGTTTGCTCATTTGTAACTAAGAACTTGATGCTCCAAAGTTGATACATGAATATTCGACATATTTGCTATAAACGTTCCCAGAAGTTATATTGCTTGAAAACTTAAATGATACATGAAATTCCAGTTCTTGATCAAGTGCCCTAGGGTACATAACATTTACACGGTACCACAACTACATCTCTGAACTGCTGACTGGCATTTGGAATCTTCGATGTTTGACCATTCATTTAGTCCACATGTCTTGATCGGCCGCTCGACTTGGTATACCTTGTTTTCTTTTTCCAAACGCAGACAGTATGCCTCAAATGTACCTACTGTCACTTGAAGTCTGAAATCTACACTAAATAAAAAATTAATTTCAAGTCTATTCATCTCCATTGTGCTGATCCCTCCGACTTTAGCATAATAAGCATTGCTGAAAAATCTGGAGCAAAAAGACTAGTGTCACTTCCTGACAAGAAAGATGCAAAATCGTGTGCATCGATATGTGCACAGCAGATCATGTACCACTCATGATGTGCATATTTCAGGACATGCAACAGTTGTATGTAAACAGAGAGACAAAGTACAGGTAGATGAGATTCAGAAAACTGCCAATTATAGGCTTAGGCCTCTTTGTTACTTGCGTTATAGAAACGCTGAATCCCTTCCGATTACAAAGGTGTTTTAGGAGTTTATCAGTTTTCATTCTTCTGGTGGATTCACTTGAAACCTACCAGTTTTCCCAAAATGATTAAAACCAATTTAATAACATGTTTGGGCCTGTTTTATAGCTCTGACCCGGCAGAATCAAATTTGATGGTTGAAACCGAAAAACATCAAAATAGCTACAGCTCTCAGTCAATGGTTACAACCTTAGACAAGCCAAAGGTCCAAAAAGTATTGGACCTACGACTGCCATCATCCAGGTAACATCTCAAATATATGGATCGATGGAAAGAACTTGATGGGTCAATGATAGAGAAACTTGACTTTGTTGTTGGATAACTTGACAAATTCGGTCCATTTTTTATCTGGAAAGATCAGTTCATCCAAAAGACTGAGTTTATAAAAGCCTGAGCTACTCAATTTTAATTATTTTATGAAGGCAGTACTAGAATTTTCACTTTTGCTAATCATTCCCTCATTGGAATCTAAAATTCAACCTAATGATATGTTTTAGTTAAAACTTAGATCCACATCATTAACAAATAATTTCCTAGTATATGAGGAAGTATCTATTCATGATAGGTGCCAACAAGTGGAAAATTTTCTTTAACCCAAAACTGTACCAAGACAATAAATAACAAATTTAGACGCATTATTAAGTTTAAAAAAACCAAAAGATAAGCACTGCAGGCACAATTTCACAAAAAAAAGCTCTAAAGATGTTGAAAACTATAAATAGGATGTAAAAGTCAGCTATTCATGGCAATCTAGTTAGTAGTATATGGTTTGTATAAGTAGTTGTCTAATATTTCACATCAAACTTAATTAAAATGATTGACAGCAAGCATTCTGCTATAGCCTGCAAAACAATCAAACTGGACCCGTGAATAGAAAGATACTAGTGATCCTTCAGATTAGTTGATATTCTTTACACATTGATTAATGTGATTCACATATATTGAGCATAAACAGACTTGAATTTCTTTAGCAACAGGAGAAAAATTATTCAGAAGGCTTAGTGCAACTGAAACTTACGCATCATCAATGAATTTTGCGGCAACAACGACACTTGCAATTAGCAATCGATGAACATTGAGGGAAGTCAAACATATGTTTGGTTGCTGAAGGAATCTTTCGATGTATATATAAGCAAGGACAAAGCAAGATGGGCTGCACTTTGAATACTTGAAGATGCGCTCCATGTACTTCTTTATGCTAAGGGTTGGTGCTCTCATACCATCGAAGAGAGTTACAAATTCCTTTATTTCCAGCGAATCTAGTTTCTTTTCATTCTTTTGAACAGTGGCCTCGAGAATTGAGGATAGAAGGGTTAATACCCTTGGGAACTCAGCAACTCTTTTGGATGATGTGCTCAGACCCAATGCCTGGTAAACCTCTGGGTTTACAGCCTCAGTGTCAGGTGTCATCGATTTCATACTTAGTCAGCAGTGACCTAACAAGTAGATCATTGAAATACTTAGGAATCTATCACTGTGATACAAAAACATCAAAGGGAAGAAACCTAATAACAAAATTAACATACTTTATATGGACATTGATGAATGCATGGCAAGAGTCAAGACAAATGGCATGCAACCAAATATGAGAAAAAAAATATAAGAGAACAAGAAGTAGTATTTATGAGAATTAAACTTCTCTCTCATTATGTAATAATCATGTAGCCTGGTCAAACAGTGAACGACAACTAGCATAAGTAAAGGAGAAAGAAAAAACTTACCACATTTGATTATAAGACCTGGGGCTCCTATATAAATATGTTCAGCTATTTGATTTTTTTTATTTTCAAGTTCATTACATCCCCTCCTTTCTTGACAAGATGTATCTTTCAGCATCAAACACAGTTTCTCAAGGCTTGGCATCTCCTTACATCCCAACCAAAATGTGCCACAATATGAGCTACATTTTGGCGTTTCCCACGAAGCTTGGGATGCCTCATGAGCTAATAGAAAATTGTTCTTATGACAGACTGATGTTGGAAACTTCTGTCTCTTAACACTTGACATGAAAATCTGGCATATTCAATATTCCTACTTAATATAATAAGTATCTGATCATCGTTGTCTTCAGAATTAATCTAGAGTGTGAACGACTTCCAACATGAGACTCCATAAAGAAGTTGATACAGGTGGAATAGCAACCAAGCAATCTGATAATTAGCAGAGTAAAATCGAACATTAAGATTACAGCTTTGTTTCTGATAAGAGGCTAATAGAATATAGCAATGAATTTTTTCCACAGCTTGGTAATCGGTTACTAAATCAGAGGGCTAAACAGCCTAAATTCATACAAAAACAGAGACACGACATTGTACTCTATTCTACCACCCAAAATATAAAGGACAAGTGATCCCACATTCTTATAACTCACATTCTTCCTGAAATCCATAGCCTGATAAAAAGGCCAAAGAAGCACAAGATTTGACCAAAACTCATCCCAAAAGAAACCAAATCAGACACAAAATCATGCAAGCACCGGTGGTACAGCTATGGCAAATCTAGATCTTAGCTCCGGAAGTCAAACTTGAACCAGAATCAACTGCCAAAAGAAATCTACAAAAAAGTGAAAGAATTGCTTACAACTTTTGGTCAGGAACTTGTGTTCTCTCTCTCCCCTTCTATCATCACCTCTTGTCTCCACAAAAATGTCACGGATCTGAAAAATTACCTCTCATCT